CGCACCTTCCCTTCCCGCACCTTCCCGCACCTTCCCGCACCTTCCCGCACCTTCCCGCACCTTCCCTTCCCGCACCTTCCCACACCTTCCCTTCCCTCACCCCTCAGCAATCATGTTTGGACAGGGTTAAATCTTAAAGGTGCAGTTTTTACTCTGGTGTTTCCCAATTGAAATTCCTGTAAAACCCAAAAATACCCCCAGCCACTTGGCTGCTCGACAAGCACAGCTCCTGGCCCTCCTGGAACAGGCAGAACCTTAGAGCCGTGGCTGCTTTAACCCACTGTCTTGGACCTTCCCAGTGGGGCTGCCCAAAACTGGGAGCACCAGCCCTGCAGACACGCAGCAGCACATGGGGTTTTTGTGGTGTGGGGGATTTTGTGATCTTGGGGTTCCCCGAGGCATGGGACATCTCCAGGGTGGGGAGGTGGCAAGGTCGTGTGTGCCACCACCCTCCCGGGTAGAAAAGCTCTGGTTAAACACTGTGGCACCAGAGAGGAACCAACAGGTGGCTTGAGGGAAATGGTGGTCAATGAGAAGAGTTTCGGTTTTGTCTAAATTTTCCGTGGAAAAATTCCCCCTTTTCAGAGAAAAGCTACGTGCCCATTTGTTATGGGGAAATACAACTGTGTACACATACACAAACTATTATACAAAATGTAAACACTTTTCTGTGTGTATATGCACATCCATATATGTATACATCTCCATGGATGGATTTTGATTTGGTTCACTCTTTTCTCCAGCAACAAGTGTTTCCAAATTATAGTGAGTTTATTTGCAGAAAAAGGACGAATTTAAAATGCCTGTAATGAAAACTCAATCTTGAAATGGAATTTATTTTAAAAGAAAAGCTCCAGCCACTGCTGCTGATCAGCATTGATAAACCATCCTTAAAGAAATGTTCACAGGGATGGGGTGCCAGCAAACACTTCCAGGGGAACCAGAAGCTTTGCTGCTCCCAGTTATCAAAATGGAATAAATGGGCCAGGAAAATAACTTTTTTTTAATAAATGTGTCTGTGCTTGAGGTTTTACTTATGGTAGGGGAAGCTTTGCTGCTCTATCTTCCCTGTAAATCATCACCTGGCACAGCTCCAGTGAGAGTCTCCAGTGAACAACCCATCAGCAGGTGACTCAGGTCACCTGGCCTGACCTCTTCATTTAAGTTGTCTGCATTTCTCCTGGCTTTCTGGAGCTCCCCAGATCCTGCCTGGATGGGTTTCCTGCTGCTCTCCCCAGTGGTGTAGACGTGCTGGTCAGCCCTTGTGGACACTGAGTTTTGTTGTTCCTCTCTCCTGAGGTCATCTTGCCGCAGGATTGTCCAAGTGCATGTGCTTAGCAGGAGCTCAAAGCACAGTCACTCTTCAGTGTGGCACAAGGAATAAACAGCTGGAGAGGCAAAACAACACAAGATCGGCAGCACTTCCCTGCCTGAATTGGGTTTTTCCTTACACTCTGCTGACCTCATTAATATACTCCCAAAAAATGTCCTGTATCTTTCTCCTCCTACACCGGGTTTCTCTTCTAAACCCCTCACTGCTCCCACCTCCTCTAAGGGAGCTTTCTTTTCACTGTGCAGGTTCTTCAATTCAAAGGATGCCTGTGCTACACAAAAAAATCCTGCCTCTTTGTTCTTTCCTTCTACACAAGTTTCCTTTTAAGTGGCTGGAGAGACCTTGATTTCTCTAAGTGCCAGAACCCTTTGTCAGGTTGGCTCTCTGATCAGGCTCCTCGGTGGAGCTAAATCTCTTGCCAAGCTTTCCCACATTTAGCCAACAGCCCCTTTGAGCTGAGTCTTGAAAAACTGGCTTGTCCTCAGCAGCAGCTCCCTCTTTGTCCAACTGAGCCCCATTTGAATGTGTAATCATCAAAGTTAAATGAGGCTCTTTTGTGAGCCTTATACCAGGTGGAAGCATTTTTAGGTTTTTTTTTCTCTTGTGGTTTCTGGCTCAAAAATCTGTAGGCAAGAAGAGAAGAGAGCAAAGAGCTCCATACCCAAAGCAGAGTTTGCTGCTTGATACTTGCCTAAAATTCTGCAGGAGAAATGCACCAATAACTCCCACCAGGTGCAAGGGAAGACAGGGAGGATGGGTCAGCACCCACCACCTGGGAGTTGTTTGGGGCTTGAGCAGGATGTAGAGAGAGGCAGCAACAAACTATTGAACTGGGGTTGAGAAAGTTCTTGGCTTGTTTGGAGTTAAGAGTTCCCAGCTATATCTTGTGAGAGGTAGTTGAAGGAGCTATGATTGTTTAGCCTGGAGAAAAGGAGGCTCAGGAGAGACATTATTGCTCTCTACAACTAAAAGGAGGTTGTAGAGAGGAGAGAGTTAATCTCTCCTCACAGGTAACAAGTGACAAGACCAGAGGAAATGGCCTCAAGTTGTGCCAGGAGTGGTTTAAATTGGATTTTAGGGAAAATTTCTTTGCTGAAAGGGTTGTCAGGCATTGGAAAATGTTGCCCAGGGCAGTGGTGGAGTCATTGTCCCTGGAGGTGTTCAAAAGACATGGATGTGGCACTTGTGGACATGGTTTAGTGGTGAACTTGGTGGTGATGGGTCAACACTTGGACTTGGTGATCCTACAGGTCTTTTCCAACCTTAATAATCCTGTGATTCATCTTTACACACTTTGCCTCCAGCCCAGCTCTCAGCTGCATTTGTGCTCTATTTCTGACCCTGCCAGGAGCAGAAGAGTCTTAATTATGAGTCTGTGACCAGAGAGAAGGAGCTTTTCAGCTCATTGTTTATCTACCTTGGAATAAACTCAACCAACCCTCTCATGGAGCTTCACAAATATGCAAAAAAAAAATCACTTTAATGAAACACTTCCTGCCTTTTCAGCGAGCTGGTGCCTCTGGTATGTCTGCTCTGATAATTAGATCACAATTTAATCATGAGCTCTCTGTTGCTTCAGGGTTGACCTCTGCAGGTGCAGCAGATTTCTCCAGTTGAGCCTTTAGCCCAAGAATCAGGGAGGAGGGTGGAGATTGATAGCTGTGCTATGGAGATAAGTTATTTGCTCAGAAAAGGTGAGTTCTGGGCTGACACATGGTATTAATATGCATTTCATCTGGGCAAGTGACTTCTCTGGAGATTTTCTAAAATTATTTTCTATCTCCAGCCTCTCTGGACCTCATCAGCCCCTAAAGTGAAGTTCACAGCTCTCCAGTGGCCTCCTGAATAGACTCACTTCTCACCAGTCCCAGAGGAGTGGCAGAGCATGCAAAAAGGGCTCAGCCTGAGGTGGATCTCAAGGAGTTGAGCTGTCAGCAGGTGCTTTGTGGCCAGGGCTGAAGAAAACACTGCACAAAGGCTGTGGCACTTTGGGAACACCCAAAGGGGCACCCAAGCTTTAACTCAGCTCAGTGTCTTTAAGACTGAGGCAGAGTGGGAGGAAAATTAACCAGAAGTGAGGCAGAAAAGCCACAACACAACATATTAAATTCTTGGAAATCAGGCCTTAAAAGCAGGTATTATTTCTTCTTTTTCTTAAAATTTTTTTAATTTTTTTTTTTTTGTGAAAATTGAGAAGAAAATAATGAAAGCAGGTCCTGTTTTAGTAAAAGTTTTGGGCTGGTTTGATGGCAGGGAAATGTTGTCTTCAGCAGACCAGCAGCAGCCTGGGGCTGTGGTCTAACAGAGCCTCCCCAAGTATGTCTGAAGGAAAAAAAAAGGAAAAAAAAAAGAGATAATCTGGCTGCATTCATATAGCTTGTTTACATCTGCCTGGGGAAAAATGCTGTGACAGATCATTCTGCTGGCAGGAATGGCTGTGGAGGCTGACTCCTCCACCTACGAATTCAGCTGCCTGTGGCCTTCAGGTGCTCAGTTTGCAGGTAATGAGGCACTCAGGTGTCCCCTGGGTAGGACCAGAAGCCATTCTCGTGCTCCTGCTGAGGACATCTTGAGCGGGGTTGATGTGTGACCCTTGCCCAGAACACGAGTGTGAGTCAGACTGCTGCACTGGCTTCCCACACATTCATCCCCTGTGTCACCTAACTGTGGCCAAACTTTTATCACTGTTCTGCTTTCTTTATCACACTGCTCTGCCCAGGCTTCCCAGCTAGTTGAGGAATCCCCAGGCAATGAGACATAAAGCAGGGTCTGCATCCAAACCTATCACACAGCCATAAATACAGCTGGCAGGAGACTCAGACCCAGGGATTGTCTTGGTGCTCTCTCTCTGACCTGAGATGGCAGCTTGACCCCTGCAATAGCTCTTTCCATGCTCTCCAGTTGAATGGAGGCCCATCTAAATTCAACAAACCCTCTTTGTGAGCCTTATGCTAGGCATGAGAGTGACCCTATCCTTCTTTGGGGGGGTGGCTGGAGACAGGGATCAAATAAAGAAAGTGGCCTGAGAGCCAAAACTGTTTTCTCTGTGGTACCAATATTGCAACACAGTCAATGCCACCATGGGACAAATTATAATCTTATTCCCACAGAGAGAGGGAAATCTATTGATTAGGGTCACCATCTCCAGTGCTCCACAGATCACTCCCAGTCACATTAGATCAATTTAAAAGGATCTCTGTGCAGCTTTTGGAGGTGTCAGGAAGAAAAACCTGGCTGCTATTTTTATCTGGTTATTGTCCAAACAAAGTCAACGTGTCAGGCTTCAGAATTAAACAGGGCTTTAAAACCAGTTTGGCTGCTTTATTGCCACCACCTGAGTGAATGAAGCACCTGGATGGAGAAGGCAGGTCCCAACAGACCAGAGGCAGACTTTTGGCAGCGATATTGAGGGCATCTCTCAGCAGTGGGGTGGTTAAAACTCACGGGCATTTCCAGAGAAAGTGTTTTAATTGCTGAACACCAGTTAGCAGCGCCTGCTTCAATGGATGCACTGATGTCTCTACTTTCTCTCAGTGCTGCTATTTCCAGCTTTCAGGCAAACAGCACTTCACATTTAGCTAATTACTCCGAGAGCACAGCAGGGTTTCTAGGCCTGCAGATTTCACACAGTTTCTATTAATATCCCCCAGGGCTTCCAGGTTTGTGCTTCTTTGGGATAACACTGATCTCTCTTTGCCAGGACCACTCAGGTCTTGTGCATCCACTCACTCCCAACCACTTAACATGGCAGCTAGCTAATAATTTCCCTTATCACACAGCCCTCCTGATAAAGCTGCTCTGCAGGAGCAATGAGGGCTGGTGCCTGGTTCCTCAGACCTGCCCCTGGCTCCAGTGGAGACTGGAGGCTCCAGGCAGGAGATGCCTTGGGCTGGAGCTGTGTGGGACTTGGTGTTGTCTCATCCCTTGCTGTGATTCTTATCTTGCTGTTGCCAAAAAAACCACTGCCTTGAGCTAAATACCACAGCTTTGGAGGGCATGAGGAGGGGTAGGTGCCTAAAACCAGCTTCCTGCCTGGCAGCCCCATGTGTGGGTGCCTGGGGAAAAGCAGGGACAAGAAACACCTCCTTTTGCCCCTGGAGTGGAGGGATATGAGCACTGACATAGGAGAGCCCAAGCTATAACACTTTAGAAACCAAAGGCAGCTCTAAACCCCCTCATGCATTTGCAGCCCCCTCCTGCCTGCACGCAGCCGTGGCTGCAGTGAGGATTCAGATGGGCCACATTCATTCTGCTTTAAAAAGCTCATCTGGCTTTGCCTTAAATTTATGGGGATCACAATGAATCAAAGAGCACACGGCTGGGAGTTTAAGAAGTGTTTTGTTCCTCTGAATTACATGAATCCTAAAAGATCTCTGGCATCAAAAGCACCCATTAACCCCAGCAACTTTGTTATTGTCATAAGGGACTTGTTTTTACTCTCTGTTGCACTTCCCAAAGCTTAAAGTCAACAGAGACAGGTCTGTTGACTCCGCTGCACTTTATTAGTCTGATAGCAGAACCCGTGACCATCCTCTTTGGAGTGATTGCAGAAAACTCGAGATAGAGGGAGAAAATTTAGAATAAGTCAAGAACAAATAAGTACATGTAAAAATGTGAAAAAATCTGCATCAGTCCATGAATCCCCCTGGTAGTCTTTGTGCTCTTGCAGTCACAGCTTCTTTTTTGTAAAGAAGTTTTCTTTCCCACTTTCTTGAATGATTAACAGGCATAACTCACTAGTGAGAGCTGGGGAAACAAGGTAGCAAAAAAGTACTGTGCTATCCCACACAAATAGAGAAAGGAAAAAGCAATAGTTATAATCCCCTAATTACTTATAGCCACAGTCACTGGCTGCCCAACATCTTTAAACCAGAGGCAATCCTGAAACTCAGATCAAGACTTCATTGTTCTTCCTGGACAAAAAAAAAACATAAAAAAAAAATCCAACATTGTGTTAGTGTAAAGTAAAGAGTTGCAGGCAATAAAAGGCTGTTTTGGGGATGGCTGGCATGGAGGTTACAGGCGACAGCTGGTGGGTGTCTGATGGGGCTGCCCTTTCTAGCTACCATCTGGACTTTGCATAGGACAGGCGGGAATAAGCTACTTATACCTTAATAAGGAAAAAGCCTGTAAAAATGGGATGGGGGGTGGTGGTTTGGCTGTGAGACCACTTTGTAAATAAACAGGAATGTGAGCTTGGGCTTTGCTGCTCTGCCCAGGCTGAGGCAGGGACAGCAGCTGGAGACTGAAAGCACCTAGAAGTCGCAGGGATATATAAACACTCTGTCCCCTGATGCATTAGTGTGTGTGAAATCTGTTTAAGTAATTAACTTGGTTGTTATTAACGCTGTTTAATCACAGCAAGGACAGGATCACCAATGCACTGACAGGGCTGATTCTTCCACCCAGACAAACAAAAGGCAGGACTGTTGCAGTCCATTGGAAATGTCTGGATGGTGTCAGGGTAACAAAGTTAGAAGGAAATGATGCAGGAGAGAAACACAGGATGAACATGCACCTGACAGGTGTGTGCACTGCTGTCAGCACACAGAGATCCCAATTTACTCTCCCTTTGGGAGGAGAGTTGCATTAGGGTGGACCAAATTTACCCCTTTTACTTCAAAAAGAGTAATTTTACTGGTCCTGGCATTTCTCCACAGCCAGTTGGCACTGCACAAGTAATGTAAGTTAGACATAAATAGGGAGTAGAGTCACAAAAATACCAGTTTCTCTGCAGGACATGTCCAAAAGATCTGTAAGAGCTATTGACTCCAACCCTTGGTTCACCTTGGCTTGAAGGTGACCAGGGTGAAGTTATCACAGCAGCAATGCTGAGAGTTGTCAGCCTAAAATAAAAGGTTTTGGAAAATCAGCTCTTCCCATTCTGCCTGCAGATGTTTTGCCTTTTCCCTCTGCCCCACCCAGCCCTGGGGCACCCAGCCCTGGTGCTGGTGCCCAGACTGGTGGTGGGTTGAGCTGTGGGGGCAGTCGCTTTCCTGACAGCAGAGATGGAAGCTGCCACAGCTCTTCCTGCCAAAACTCATCTGTCATAGCCTTAATTTGCCCCTCTGCACCCCAGATCTGCTCCCTTCCCCTCCCTGCAGCTGGCCAAGAGGAGGCAAGGCTTGTCACCCGGCTGTGCTGGCACAGCCCCCGCCTATGGCAACCCCTTCCCATGGGAACCCCCGGCTGAGGAATTGCAGGTGGTTTCCAGTCCTTGCAGCGTGGCCTCTCTGGGAGCTTGGATGAATGAGATGCCTCTCCTTCAACCTCCTTCATCTCACCCTGTCCCAGTTTCTCGGGGAGGCAACACGACATGGAGAGCTATTTCCCTGTTTTACACCAGTGCAAACTTTTGTCTTCTCCAGTTTTAGCATTTTTCCCCCCAAAACCCTTTCCCATGCCAGCCTTCCCACTCTGCCCTGTTGCAATTAACTTGCAGCATCATTAAGGTGTGGAAAAAGCAACACCAGCAAAACTTTTGCTCCCTCCAGCAGTGCTTAAGCCACATTTCAATCCCTGTCTCAAGCAAGTCGCATCCAAGGTGACCCAGTATCCAAACCTCTGGGCCATAGCCTGGGCAGGGAGCAGATAACCAGCAACATCAGATGCTACTTAGAAAGCGTTTTGTTCTCCATTAAAGCAAAAAACATGTGCTAAGAGCTGCCGAGGGAAAGTGCAGAGCATCTGATTTCCCTCTTTTGCTAACATGCTGGGAGGAAGAGGTGACAAGTTCGTGGAAATGGCTGCAATTTGCAGTCAAACGTGGTGTGCACGGATAGGAATTGGGAGGGAGGAGACAAACAAGCAATGTACTGCACAGATCTCCTCCAGTGATGCTGGAGCTTATACAAACCAATTAGCCCCTCACCGAAGAGCAGCTCTATCCCTACCACCATACTTTTTACTTCCTAGTAGCTAGGTGGTTGGTGTTTCAGCATTTTTTTATTTTTTAATTCTTTCCCTCCTCTTTAAATGTCCTGGGGGAAAATGTACCTGAAGATCCAAGCAATTGCTTCTCCATGCTGTGACATGGTTTTGCCATGAGGTAAATTCACGGGTGTCAAATAAGTTGCTCCTTATGCCAATGTCACAGAAATACGAGTGTGTGGGAGGGCTGGTGGCTTCTGCTTAGTGGAGTTGCCAAGGATTGTGCTAATTAGCAATTGGAAAGACTTATATTTTAGAGGTGTGGAGTGATCCGGAGAGGCAAGTTGAAGCTTGTCTAAAAACTGGTAAAGGCAGTTCTGCATGGACCAGCTGCAAAGGGACTTTGGGCTTTTGGAGAGATCTCCAAAAATTTGTCTGGCCTAAGTTCAGGTGTGTGCATCACTCAGCCCTGCCATGAGTGAACTGAGCTTGTAAGGGCTCTGACTGCATCTTCAGCTGCTACCTGACCTTAGGAGTTGGAAGCTGCCAGAAACTGCTTTATGTTGTGCTCCCTTCACAGCTCTGGGCTCCTGCCAACCCCAGTGGCTGTCCCAGGGCCAGGCTGTCCATCGTTTTACCCCTTGTGATTACTTACAGTGGTGAAAAGAGGAAGCAAACGACAGGTGAATGCAGCAGTGACAGAAAGAGGCTGGGATGGACCTTTGAGTGATGGGAAGGAAGTTTTTTACCCAGCTGCTGTGTCTGTGCCAGTGCTCAGTTGAAGTGAATAAGTTGTATGTCCTGTGTGTGAGTTGGAGCTTTACCTGCAGCTGAGCTGCCTCATTCTTTCCTACACCTCAGACATAACCAAGAAAGAACTTTTTTGCCCTGTTGTAGCCCCAACAGCACCACATGGGGGTCTCTAAGATGAAAGCACATTGGGGAACCTTCTTCTTTGTAAAGGCTGGAGATAGCAGAAGGAGTTGCTTCACTGCATCACCGTGACATCAGTCCCTGCAGTGGCCATATATCCAGAGATGGCATAGCTGGGCTGTACCAGCTCTGACTG